TTAATATTTTATTTTATTATGTTGTTACAGTTTCAATTTTCTTTAGTTAATGTTTCTTTGTGGGAAAGTTTGAAAGATATAATGCTTCATAAGTTGTTTGAAACGAAATAATAATTCAATTTTTTTAATTTTTTTTATTTATATTCATATTAAAACTGCCTATAATTAATAAAATTAATGTTTTATTATGAATTTTTTACAACATTATTTATGCTTTTACAATTCAATTTCTTATATTTAAATATTTTTTAAGTCAGTTTCCATTATAATTTTCTATACCTAAATGATTCTTATATTAATTTTAAGAAATAAAATTTGGCATAATTTAATTATTTATATTACATAAAAAAAATTACGTGAATTTTCGTTATAATTTATTATAAGTTAAATATTCTTTACGGAATTTTCGTGAACAAAATTAACTTTATTTTATTATTTATATTTATTTTAAATCTGTTCATAATAAATAATTAATATTAATATAAGTAATAATTAATAATTAATATTATTGATATTATATTATGCTATTACAGTTTTAATTTGTTTTTTTTAGAAGTTTAATGGGAAAATAATATTATGAACATAAATTATTGTATGCATTAATATAAAAAAATATTACATGGAAAAATTATTGTAAAGTTGTTCGTTTTAATATAAAATAAGATGATCATTAGTATTTTAATGTCAGAAAAATGTTAGCGATACTCTTTTTGATTTTTTCTGAAATTATTCTATAATTGACTGAAACTTATTAAAATTTGCAAATTTTAATGAATTTCACCTTAAATCATGAGAATTATTAAAAATATGTGTGTGATCTACTAAATTTTTTGTATTTTTAATAAATTTCAGTAAATAATAAAGAGATAAAAAAAATGTTAAAGAGAATGTTGTTAGTATTTCTCATCCAAGTTATTTTTTGTATATATGATTATATATATATATATAATATATATAATTTTGAGAACAATATTGTTATTGTATAGTAATTTAACCGGTGGAAACTTCATATCTTCGTGAATAAGGACATATTTGAATTTAAGTTAGAAGAGTTGAAAAGTACTTTTATTTTTAAAATTAATCAATTTTTTTTATTTTGTGTATTAAAATTTAAAATTATACATTATAACTGATAAAAGTAATTTTTTTCAATTGTTATCTAAACATAGTCTAAAACTTAAAACTTAATTAATTTTTATAAATGATCTGAATTAGGTTAAGTCTAACTACTTTAGGATCCAATTTAATGAAATATAATTGAGTTTGGTGAGTTGGATGTATTTTTATTTTATTTTTTTGCAAACAACCTGACCTTACTTGGGTTGAGTAGAGTAATTGAGTTGAATTTATCAAGATATTAATATATTTTAAAAATATATATAAAAAAATAGAAAATAAAATATAAATTATATAAATTAAATACATGATTATTCGGCCGAAGCACCCTCGCCCCAGAAGTTCCTTGACATCAAAGCAGGAGGCACACAAATTATAGTTCCACCCGGAGAAGCCACGGTCTACTTTGATTTCTTACTTTTCTCAGGCCTCTCTTCGGCACTCTTCCTCTTGTGACCTTCTTGAGCAACTCCCTTCCCTTTCTTCCCCTTCTTTTGCTTACGGGTCGGAGAATGAGGGCTTCGGTTATCCTGCTCCGGTCGAGGAGTTTGGGCAATTGACGAGCTACCTACAGCCCCCGAAGTTTTGGCCTGCTGCATTTGGCCAGCTAGTAAGTTCCGAATGTTGAATTGATCAGTGCCAGCCACCACCATGATTCCTACAAAAAAACATTCAAGTGAACATCAATATGCATTTAGCTTAAGGCAAAAACGGGACAAATCACGTACCTATCAAGTCGTTCTCCCATCCGGGTGATTCGACTACATTAATTAGTGACCTCGTCGGCAAGCGCCGAGGCAATTTAAGCAAAAATTGTATATCTCGTAGCTCTTCGGCGGTGAGAAGCTCGTCCGGCACCTCATCATATGGCCGAGGGGCATGCGTCCAGTACAAAGGGCATCACAGCGCGGAGTGACCTCGGACACGCACTAGGCGACGTCGGCTCGCTATCCAATTAGGTCATAAACTGATCTCAGACCCAAGGCCCAACAAAACCCTAATACACACAAAGGTACATGCATTACTTATACGAGACTCATACACCCACAAACACTAACTTTAGCATCGGAGTCTCTTTTGCAGGTACCACCCCCATCTTAAAACATCAACGTACCCGTGAAAGAGGCTCACCGATCTTACCCAGCAGATCATCCCTACCTCAGATTCCCGGTAAGAACACATACCTATAATTAATAGCACACAATCTTTCATTGACTAGCACAAGTAGAAGGATAAGTTATTTGATTAAGATAAGGAACTTTGATTTTACTCTAAAGTAATCTTTCCTTTGACTAGTCAAACATGTATGGCATGACATTCCCAATGTTTCCGAATAAAATATGGAAAATGATTCGGCCTCCGAAGGTGAACTGAAATTCTCTCCGAACGAATAAAATAATAATTTAAATTATAAAATATTAAATTAAATAATTATTTTATAATAAATTTATTCAAAAATATTAATATTTTAAAGACTTGGATCATAATTCGGAGATCTTTTCCAACTGTGTAACATAACTCATAAAATATTAACGGAGACAGACACGAAGCTTCCTTTTGCCGTGCATCTCAAGAGTCAACAGCTCGAGGCAAATAAAAAACTGGAATTTTTATTTTTATTTTCTTAAATAAATTAAATTAAGACTTAAATTTTTATTTTTATTTTTATCTTTATAGCTTTGATGAACTTTGTTTTTAAAGTGGCGTTTAGTGTCCCAAATGTTTTTACTTTTTTAATAATTTAAAGTTGGAAATGTTAATTTCATAAATTTGATTTATCATAAAAAAAAATTGAAAATGTTTTTAATACAATGGTTAAGAGAAATATTTTATTATAGTAAATTATTATATTTTATTTAATATAAAAAAACATTTAATTTTCAAAAATAATACTTATAAACAATCTGACCAAATAGATATAATCATTTTTAGGAATTATAATTTTTTAAAATTTATGATTCTTCGTTATCATAATTTTTGGACATGAAAATTTTGTATTTAGTTAAGGTCTCCTTAATTTTTATAGTTAAAATTTTCATTTTAGCATCTAAACATGTTTTTCTTCTTCCCTTTAGTACCTATCATTCATTGTTATGAGGATTAAAAAATTAAATTTTATTAGACCATCAATTTTATTTTATTAAACTAAAATAAAAATAAAATAATCTGTATAAGAACTTAACATAAAATAATTTATCATATAGAAAAAAAATAAAGTTCATAGAATCATATATACGAACGAAAAGATAATTAAATTAACATGAATTAAAATATTAGATTTCCTTATGTAAAGTAATCACTTGGACTAAAATTTCAAATAAATTATATTATCACCCCAATTCAAACAAGTTTCATTTAAAAATTTTATTTTCTTTGTTAATCAAACCAATAATTAAAGTAAATTTTATAAAATATAATTAAATAAGAATTATATAATATACAAATTGAGTGAGAATAAATACTCATAAACATGGAATGTTGATCGTTGACATTTTCATTTGTGAACTGCTCCGCAATTCAAGGAATTGAAAAGATTTAGTTTTAAAACTGCTTGCACAATATATTATTAGACTTAAAATAAATTTTAAATAAATAATAATATTTTATAAATATATATATATATATATATATATTATAAATATAAGTCTTAAAAATAAATATATTTATATATTATTTTAGAGATAAAGTTTTTTAAGTAAATTTTTAATAATGTAAAAAGTGACTTTTTAAATTATGAAACCTTCAAAAAAAAATTATATAAATATTAATGTAAAATATATTTTTTTTGAAGCGAAGATTTTATTAATCTCACTCTTGAATTGACCATAATTTCAAATTTGGGTGCCTTTATTATAATTTGGATAAATAAAAGAAAAAACTCAATACTTTTATATATCTATGATTTATAAATAAGTTTAAATATGTTTTTAGTCTTTAAATTTAAGATAAATTTGTTTTACTCTCTCAAATTAAAAATTAGTATTTTTAGTCTCTATAATTAAAAAAAATCATTTTAATTTTTATACTAAAACTTTATTAGAAAATTTATCAAATATTATCGTATATTAAAAATAATAACTTTAAATTTGAAGAATTAAAAACAAATTTATCCTATATGAAGGGATTGAGGTAGTTAGAAGTACGAGGACCTAAGTTCAATCTTCATTGCGATCATCTTTGTAATCTTTCCTATCTTTACTGAAAAAAAAATTTTAACTTTATAAATATTATAAATGGTGATTTCTCTAAAAAAAAAAATTATAAATGGAAATTTTATTGCTTAATGTAAAAGGATGAGTGGGCAAATTATAGTGCCTGTTGCTTTAGCTAAACATGAACACCACTTGAGGGGTGACGTAAGCAGAGTGCAAAGGTGGAGGGCTGCTTTGGCAGAAGTAGCCAATATTGCTGGCTGGCATTGCTTGGCCAATAGGTAAGTAATTCAATAGGGATTGTATTTGTAATGTTTTTGTTTCCATGTGTTTTTGTTGATAGCGTGGAATAGGAACTGGTGGAAAAATTGCTGTGGATGTGTTGCAGAAATTAAATCATGTGTACGTTGGTGACCTAGATGAGCAGATAAGTAAGTATGAGCAATTATCGAACCTGCAAGCACAACATCTGATGATGGGGAGTGGATTTAATACCCAACTTTGGCGTGATAATTACAGGCAACAAACCAGCGTCTTGAGCAACTCAGAATGGAGAGAAGTGTTCGTCTACTTAGGCTGCCACGTTGAATGTAATATTACTATGAAAATCATTCATTGGATATTACTATGATCAGTTATATTATATGCTCAATAAACCATTGGAAAGACTCCATAGGTCTAAATTTAAAAGGCAAATAATATATATGTTGGTTCGATATGTGGATCCCGATATGAAATCATATTCTTCATTGTTATTTAAGCCATCACAAACCAAAATTACACAAAAGTTATGGAAACAAAATTAACAATAAGAAATCTTATTCCATTGGAACTTCATATAGTATCTGATGAAACTTGAACATTATAAATCAAGATAATTATCAGTGTCTTTTGAATTCTCCAAATGCGAAAGCATGTCAGGCGACAAGCGAAGCATGCGAACACTTCTCTCCATCTTAAGCTCTGTGAGACGCTCAACAGTTGCACGATGTTTTTTCAGATTTTCAACGGAACATATCTTTTTATAAAACTGATGTTGAAGCTTCGCAAGTTGCTCTAGCTTTGCAATCTGCTGATCTAGGTCGCCAACATACACTCGGTTCAGCTTTTCCAACACATCATTCGCAATTTTTTCAATCAGTTCAGATTCCATCCTGTACACCATATATGTAATCATGCTCAAACTCAAACAGTCAAACCTAAACTTACCAAGAAATAATCACAAATCTATAAATCATGTGAAATTTAATATGTGTTTATAATATCCTCAAACCCTAAACAAAATTACCTGGTACACTGGTTGAAGAGTTAATATATTATTAGTGATTTCATCAAACCCTAAATACTTCTAGCTTGTATCGAGATCAAACTCTTAATGTTTGAGAATGAATTAATTACCTATTAACAGAACAATCCCAACCAGAGTAATTAGCAGCTTCTCTGAGAGCCTCCCTCCACTTTTGCAGCTTCTCCATTTGACCCTGCAAGAGTTCCTCATGTTTAGCAAAAGCCTCTGCGTATGTCCCCGTCTGGTTGCGCACGTGGGAGGGATCTACGTCGTAGAAAACGGGCAACACAATTTGGCCCCTCATCTTCCTGCACTCAAGTATTTTGACGAGCTCGTCCAAACACCACTTGGAGTTGCCGTAGTTTTTGGAGAAAACAACGACGGAGAGTTTTGCATCCTCAATGGCCTTGAGAAGTGAGGATGATATCTCTTCGCCTCTCTGAAGATTGTAGTCAATGTATGTGTTGACTTGGAGTCTGGTCAAGGTGGCATGGAGGTGGCCGGTGAAAGTGTAGCGTGTGTCCTCGCCTCTGAAGCTGAGGAACACGTCGTGCTTTTCCTGAGGGGTTCCAGCGGAAGAGGTTGACCATTCCATGTCTGTGTATGGGACGAACTCTTGGTTAAAGGATTTTGACTTTAGAGGTTTTGTTAACTCTTGCCTCTTGCTGCCAATTAAATGTCTTTGTGAACTTCCTCTTATATAACTTGTTTAAATAATTTATTTGATATTTACATGTATATCTATATTGTCAAATAAAATTAAATATATATTAATAGATTTATTGCCTACCCACTAGTTTCCTACAATGCTAAGTACTCTTCCTAAGTTATGCCCCACGGCGGAAGCAAGTTGAAGTGCATGTATGCATTGAAGAACAAAAATGTACACAAAAGTCATGGTTTTAAGGGTGAAAAACTTATAAGGATATCGGCTAGCTTTGCTTTTTTTTTTTTTTTTTTTTTTTTTAATTTAATATCAAGGAGACCCTCAATCTTGGTGATCAAAGGGCAATGATCATTCAAGTAAATCTTATATTTCTCAACAAAATCTTCTTTATCGGCAAGGTGACCCAAACATATGGTTAATAATGGCTTTGCTTTGAGCCTACTTAAAAGAAATTTATTTTGCATTAAATTTACATAACTTTTTCAATGTCTACATTCAAAGTCACATTTTGTATTTTTAAAAATCACTCTAAAAAGTTCATATCTAAAAAATATACAAATATAATTATTTTGTTAAAAACCTATATCCAAAATATTTTTATTTTTATTAAAAAAGTATTATTATTAATTTTAAAAAACTTCAATTTAATTAAGATCTACTTTAGACCTAATGATATATTAAGTCGACCTTATTTACATGTATAGTAAAATGGAATTTCTAATTTTCTATCATGATATTTAAAGAGGCCAGTTATCTAATAACAATTGTGTTGAATCTAATTGGTAATGGGCAATTGTTCTAGTCAAATTCATCCATAGATTATATTTTTCATATTTAAATAATTAAAGTAGATTAATAAAAGCAAAACTAACTAACTAGAGTGTTGTACATGATAAAACCGACTAATTTATCACTAAAAAATTATAGTCAAACTTCCGAAAACCGGAATATATTTCTACGGTTTGTGTCAAGTTGCAATACGCCGAGTTTTTGCGACTCTTTTATATCCTTTTCACATGCATAAGTTTGACTTTTTGTACCCTGCTAATTCATTTGACCGGAAAGCTTGTACATTTTCATCTATTCACTCTAGAACGAAGCAACCACGAAATTCAAACTCCAGGTTGTCACAGTTCACTGCTCTTCTTTCTTCCTTAATTTGGTTATAGATATATGAATCTATGAAAGGAATAGTATTAAAGAGTTTTACAATATACATATATATTAGTGATATAGAGTCACATATTCAATAGCTATTGTATACATATTTATGAATGGCACGGTCATCATCCTCCTCCTCCAATACTACTCCACAAAAGCACGAGGTGTTCATTAGCTTTAGAAGTGAGGAGACCCGCAAGACATTCACAAGCCATCTTAACGGTGCTTTGGAAAGAGTAGATATCATAACCTACGTAGACAAGAATCTTGAGAGAGGAGATGAAATACCCACAACCCTTGTTAGGGCCATTGAGGAAGCCAAGCTGTCAGTCATTGTTTTCTCCAAAAACTATGCGGATTCTAAGTGGTGTTTGGATGAGTTAGTGAAAATACTCGAGCGTGGAAGGACCAAAAGGCAAATTATAGTGCCTGTTTTCTATGGTGTAGATCCTTCCGACGTGCGGAATCAGAGAGGAAGCTATGCTGAGGCATTTGCCAAACATGAGACAAATTCTGAGGATAAGACCAAGGTGCGAGAATGGAGGAATGCTTTGGTGGAAGCAGCCAATTATTCTGGTTGGGATTGCAACGATGTCAATAGGTAACTCTATCATAAACAGAATTAATGTGTTAGAGACTCTATTACTCACATTTTTATAACAATTTCCTATGCGGATTCTAAGTGGTGTTAGAGTGTGTTGTTAACATTTTTCTTTAATTTTATGACATGTATTGTGTGTGAGAATTTGATATCTTAGTATGTGTCATGTTGGTGAACAGGACAGAATTTGAGATTGTTGAGGAAATTACGAAGGATGTGTTGGAAAAGCTGGATCGTGCGAACGTGAGTGACCTGGATCGGCAGATAGCTAAAATGGAACAACTTGCACGGCTTCAGGATCAATTTTATCACAGCATAATTACTGTGGAAAATTTGAAAAACCGTAACGCAACGATTCAACGTGTCAGAGAACTTAAAATGGAGAGGAGCATCCGTTTGCTTCGTCTCACTCCTGATATGCTCTCATATATGAATCAGAATAATGATAATGATGATGATGATTATCTTTTCCCGTCATTTTAATAGAAATTATTCGTCCAATGTTATGAATATTATCAGTGACATATTATGTACTGCTGCAAAAATTAAATATGTTTGAAAATTTGTAATCTATCTATGTAATATTTGAAAAAACAAAATATTTGAGTTCACATACCATCTCTTTTGCTGAAGCAATCAGTTCACTCAACACCTCCTAGAAGTCTTAACAAGAATGTTATTTCATGTAATTACCTCATATACTATGACTACTAACAAGTTTTAAGGTCAAACTTATTTCCTCGACTTCTGTCACCATATACCAGGGTTTTGTCATTGCCAAATGAAGCTATATAATACCTCTCAAAACATAATAATGTTAGAGAAACCAGTCTTTCACACACAATAGTCTCAATTTCAAGGCTTTACAGAAACAAGTTCTCTTCAAATAAGTTTATCTATAAATACTTATAGCAAAAAGGAAAAAAAAATAAAAAGAATTAAACTTTTTCAAAAATTAAAATAAAATTATACATAAATTAATTTGTAAAAATTCCTCTGTATCAACTTTAAATGCTAATTTTTAATTTATAAATAAGTATTTTATTTTTCTTTCTTGTTTTCTTCTTCTAGAATAACTTATAGAAAAAAAATTATATAAATAAACCCTTAGAACAATAGTACTGCAGAAGACTTTGACCAAAGTCTATGATAACAGTTTTAAGATTTATCATAAATTTGGCCAAACTTTTATTCTAAATAAAAAATTCTATATCATGGCTAAGAAAATTTCTTTAACAGTATTTTTTTTTTTTTATACCATGGTATTGACAAAAATATTTATCAGCTTAGTCAACAACTAGTCTCTCTTAAAACTTTGATTATATTAAGACTATTTCTCCTAATGTCATTTTTTTATCAAACTTAAAACACAAACTCAAAATCTTAAATTGAGGATCAACCACAATACTAGTTACACCAACGATCCTTAGTTCTTTAACCGTGTTCTAAGTGTTAAATTCAAGGTTCACAAGCAGTTTATATATTAGGAGCTCCCAATAAAGTTTCAGCATATATTTTACATTGATCACGGATATGGGCTGAAATTCTGATGAAGGGAGAGAGATTCTGAAGAAATGGGCTGAAATGAAACTCCTTTCACAAGAGCTGTAACCAGTAGCTTGTTAAAGACATTTAATCAGATCAACAAAATCAAGTTCCAGTCTGTAAAATCAGTATTCCTTATAATACAACCAATGTTGTTACTAGAAATCAACCTATAGAGGTATTATCTCCAACCATGATGGGTATTATCTAGACAAAACTTTTCATCGAAAATGCAATGAAGTTTGGACAATACAAGACAACATACACTTTGAACATGAACATACCTAAAAGAACTTGAGGTTTTGGGATGCTGCAATATAAATATTTAAACAAAAAGTGGAGGTGCTTGTTAACACTACATACATATAAGGAAAAGTAGGTTGACAATTGAGATACAAAATTTTATCGGACAACCATTAACAAATGAATATTCAGATTAGAGGTCATTTATCAAATTCCCAACAGCAGATAAATCGAATAGCAAAATAGACTTAAGATGCACAACAAAGCTTTAAGGACACTCGGCTTTAATTTAAAGAGCCAGATACGGTGTGCTCCATCTTAAATTGCTAAACTACATCACACAAAAAAATGAAATAAAGAAACAAAAGATGCACCACAGAGTTATAATTTTATTAGGTCTTAGGTTTCCCAATTTAAGTTATACTCCACATGAGAAAAGAAAAAATTATCAGAACAGGATTCTCTGCAACAAGGGATATCAGTGGCTCTTAGCTTTATAAAATCAGAAAAAGGGTATATACAAAAAAGTCATTTTTACATATCATTGAACTAGGATGCTCTATTATGAAAACATAAGCAAATGAAAACCAAGAAAAAGAACAACTAAACTTTAACACTTGTCTTTGTGTTACTAAAGGAAAATCAGACATTTCACGTCAATTTGACGAACTCAAACCTTTTCTAAGATTTCTAAGGATGCTCCACATGAATGTGGAAACAATGAAAAGGATGACACCAGTAATGATAGCATACTTCATACCAAGGTTCACTAGCAAATTTACCAGCAACCCAGCAAATACAACACCAAAGAAATTAGCAGATACGGCCTCCCAAAATGGCATATCAAGAATGGATGCTATAAAGGCTCCAGTCCAAGCTCCTGTCCCAGGAAAAGGAACAGCCACAAACAACATCAGACCAAGCCACTGAAACTCCTCCACTGGACCAGCCTTCTCCTTGGCATTCTCAAACAGCATGTCAAGGATTCGCGATGCAGAAGAGCTCCTCGAAGCAAGGAAAGATGCAAATCTTTTCAGGTAGAGCACGATGAATGGCACAGGGACCATGTTCCTACATCAATTACCCAAAGCTGGTTCATCCAACCATGGGAGAACTTCCAATACTACCGAAAATCAATCTAAATCACATTAAAAGGCAGTAAGGAAACATCTTCTAACAAGCCAACATCAAACCCTCTTCTCCCCGTGAGTTAAAATTACATAGGAAAATATAGAGCTTGTTTGATTCATAATATACATTTTTGTTTTAAAAACTGATTTTTAAAATAATTTTACACTACAGTGCTACACAATAGTCAGTTTCTCATCCAAATTTAATTGAAGTCTTGAAACCATAAATATTTTTCTCATTCAATCTTCAAATGTGTTTAAGGTATGAAGTCCAGATACTGCAAAAATGGAAAACTTTTAGATAGTATTCAAAAAGTATCCAATCTTTTATTATTTATTTTTTAACCTTTTTTCTAGGATACATCTAAATATGTATCCGAAAAGCTCGCCTTAAGCTTCTTGTGCAGTCATATTCTTCCTAAGGCTGTGATAGAAATAGAAGTACATACTCCTTTATTCAACATTGGAAGAAAAAAAAATGGATCCAAAAGGGGTAAAACATTTGGTTTGTGTACATTTCAACCTTCAACATTTTTTGGTGAAAAATGATAGCTATAAAAAAAGAGAGACAAGGTAGCAAGACATTAGTGGGGACATGAAGACATATATACCATCCATTTGATGATGGGGTTGGACTTCTTGAATTGGTGTTGTCTATTGTCTCTTGATGAACCAGCCTTAGAAACTGTGTTTTTTTTCTAGATGAAGGTATCAAAAGATAGAAGAGTGGTACAATTAGCATTAGACACTAATTTAATAGTGACGCATTTGAGTCGTAGGATATTGTATAAAGTCAATATTTGTTTTAAATTCTACCATAGATACTGGTATAGTATTGATATAGCCAAAAATTGTTTCTTTTTATGATCACAAATATATTTTTGGGAATTGTGTTCATCACAAATATGCCGAAAGGACAAATAAATTTTAGAAATAAAAAAAACAGATTTTAGAAACAGTAAACAAACAAGGTCATACACTCATAACTAGTCCAAGTGATGGACCTGATGGTGCAATATCACAATTCACTAGTTCACAACAACTGAACAAAGCAAACACATTATCCATGAGAAATCCTAGAAAACCAAGCAAGGGCAAATGGGTAACATGATTGCAGTGAATATCAATAATATCTCATGCAAGTTAGCAAAAGAAGGGTACTTAAAATAAGTTAATTAAAAAAAAAAAAAAAAGACTAACCCCAGAATGGATAACAGTGTTAAAGTGGTTGGGTTGAGTTGCATCCAATAACCAACGGGTATAGCCCCACGAAGCTCAAGCACAGGAAGAGTGGCAAGGGTGAACACCACAACCCCATCAGGCCAACCCAATTTCCTCAACGAATTGGCAATGTTGAGGCCAAAGCCAGAGGCTTTGATGGAATCAACAGCAGCATTAGCATCCCTCGAAACAGCAAACCAAGCCAGTGAAAGAGAGGCCCATAACAGGACCCACAAAGCGAATTTGACTGGCTTTTCCTCAGAAAGCAAAAACCTTTCGGCTTCATCAGCAGGGTCAAAGCCTTCATCAGAAGAAGCTCTTGTTTGGGTCGGTGAAAATGGAGCAATTGGAAAAGGGTGCCTGAAATAAGGGGAAGCATGAAGGGTTGAGAAGAAGTTTGGTTTAAGAGAAAGTTTGCCCCTTTGGATTAGAGGATGGGCATTGGAAGGTGAAATCCCGTTGTGGGGTTTTCTGAGGTGGAATGGGGATGTTAGTGACAAAGCTGAGGCAGCCATTAACCCAACAAGTAGGGGAAATGAAAATTCTATTTGTGGGAAGGGAACTTATGAGTGAGAAAGTATGTTATTCAGGTTCATCATTTTGAGTGAGTGAGGCTAAGGTTAAATGCCCTATATATTATCAACTTTGTTAGCTTGAATTGAAGAGAATAGAAAATATATAGATAATGATGTATTTAATTTGCGATTTGATGATGGAATTTTATACTGTTGTTGTGTGTATGGTTTATTTAAAGTTTTTTCTTTTAACAGAGAATAGAAAGCTTTTTTTTTTTCTTCTTCTAAAATGTTTGAATTAAAGGGGAAAGTGATGTTATGGTAGGTTTTAATTTTGACCAATGATACATAGTCCAAAAATTTATTCCAAATCATATTAAAATATTAATATTTTTTAATAAATTTATTATAAAATAATTATTTAATTTAATATTTTATAATTTATATTATTATATTAATCGTTTGGAATCATTTTTCTTTAATTTTATGTTAGTTTTGTGTACAGAAACAGAATGGAGAAATAAAAGGGATAAAAATAAGGAGGAAAAGTCTTGGATTGGGCATTGCGATAGAAACAATGGGAGGAGTTAACAAGGTGGTTCCGACTTCTGGTTTGTTGCGTACTTCTTAGCCTGTGCCGTAAAAAACAACGGGTAAATACATATTTTGGTACTTATAATAATTATTTGTTTTAATTTAGTCTCATTTTTATTTTTAGTTTCAATTTGGTCCAAAATTAATTAATTAGTTTTAATTTAGTCCCTAATAAATTAATTGGTTTCAATATGAGATTTCCGTCCAAATTTCTTTAACAGTCTTAATTGTTGGCCACGATGCATAGGTGGATGCCACGTGAATGCCAATTTTTTTGAAAACACCTGGAACCAGAACGGCCCGTTCTGGTTTCAGAACGGGCCTTTCTGGTTTCAGTTGTTTTCAAAAAATTTGTCATCCACATTGCATCTACCTATGCATCTACGTGGCATCCACATGGCGAACAGTTAACTCCGTTTAAATAATTTGGACGGAACTCCCACATTGAAACCAATTAATTTATTAGGGACCAAATTGAAACCAATTAATTAGTTTGAGACCAAATTGAAACAAAAAATAAAAGTGAGACTAAATTGAAACAAATAATTATTATAAGGGACCAAAATAAGTATTTAGCCAAAAAGAAATGACTGACGGAAAAAGAAGAGAAAAAAGAGAGAGATGCGAAGAAATGTAAAATAAATAAATAAATAAAAAGTTAAAAAAATATAATAGAAATAAGTTTAATTTGGTAAAGAAGAAATAGAAAGAAAATATAGTGAAAGCTTATTTTTTATTTATTTTATCCATAAATATTAAATAAAATTTATTTTATTATATTTAATATTATTAGAAGTTTATTTTTTATAAATAAGTTTATTCAAAAATAATAAATAAAACTTATTTTTGTTATTATTATATTTATTTATTATTATTATTGAAAGCTTAATTTTTAAGTAAGTTTACTTAAAAATAATTTATTTTTTATTATTGGTGGTGGTGGTGTTGAAAGTTTAATTTTTATAAAAAATTCTATAAAAATAATAAATAAGAATTGTTCTTACCGGAAATCTACTGTAGAGATGATCCTCTAAGTAAGATTGGTGAGCCTCCTTCGCTGGTACGCTTGATGTTCCAAGATGGGGGTGGTATCTGCAAAAGAAACTCCGATGCTAAAGTTAGGATTTGTATGAGTATGAATCTCGTATATATAATGCACGTACCTTGATGTATGTTAGGGTTGCGTTGGGCCTTGGGCCTGAGATTAGTTGCGATTTGATTAGGTAGAGGATCTCGCCTAGACCGGGATTCCCCGAGATCAGTTACGATCTATTTAAGTGCCGAGCTGACACCGCGTGACGCGTGTCCGAAGTTAACTCGTGCTGTGGTACCGAATTCGGAACTCGGCTTCGAAATACGGATAGTACAAGAATTATTTTTATTATAATAATTTATATATTATACATAAAAGGTCTCTTATTTATTTAAAAAGTGAAATTCTTCAAAAAAAAAAAAATATGGAGAAGTTTTACAGAACTCGTCTCAAATTACTTCTTCTTTTTTTCTCTCTTCACTCATTTTAAACACACTCTATTTTTCAACTTCTCTTCACTTTCCTACACTTTCTCTCCCTTTTCTACAATTTCTCTCTCCCCAAGCACACTCTTAAGAAATATAGTGAGTCATAACCAAGAGAAGATCCAACCTTTGATTGATAAGTGAAAAATATTGGAAATATTCACTCATTGTAAAATCAAGTTTAATTAATTATTTATTTATTCATATTTTGTTAAGTATATTTTTTTAACAATTATATTAAAACTTATCAACATATGAAATAGATCATATTAAATAGAGAATATTTGTATTGTATGTTGTAGAAATAAATTATTATTTCATATTAAAAAAAGAATATTTGTATTGTATGTTGCAGAAATTAGTTATTATTTTTATTGATAAATATTTTGCATTAATTTGTTACTTAAAAAAAACTTTTCGGACACAATTTTGTAATTTAGAAAAGGGATGGGACAACTAATATTATTCATCAAAAGCAGTCACATAAGTTAGATTCACGTCATGTGAATGTCTATTTATTATGTGTTTGATTTCTTTAATTTAAAATTTAAAAATACGTTAATGGTTAGTTTTTGTAGGAAGAACGACGTTAATTTTTGTAGTTGAAAATTGAAATATAAGCCGTAGTTAAACATTAACGTGCCTGATCATTTTTTTTAGAAGCGTGCTATATTTTTTGTTTTATTTTTATATAGGTGCTAGATTGTTATATCAATCATACGTGGAAATATTACTTTATTTTGGACAAAATTAGCTTACAAAATTTTTTCACTTAACACCATTAACAATATTGATTGAAGTAATTGTAGTGCAACTGTGCAAGTAACAACCTACAATACAATATATTTTTAACGTGTCAGCATTAATTGTTTTTCTTCCAACTTCTAGTGGCTAGCTTCCATGAAATATCAATAATTAATAGTAGAAACAGGACGTTAACCATAAAATATGACGAATCAATTATGTGAGGAATTTGCAACTTGAGCAAAATTTCAATAAAACATTTCTTAGTGGGTTCCTCGTTGACTTCGAATGTCTACCCAAAACGAGTCCTATCCTTCTTTTTTCAAGTTATCTCTCACTTGATGATACCAATGTCATTGCATTGCCATTTCTGAATCAAACAACCTCCCCTCTCTTGCATTTTCTTTTTGAGACTTGGAACTTAGAAGATGGTCGAGACTGTAGTTAAAGGTGCTCTTTGGAAATTTGACCTCTCTCATTGAAAAAAGTTAAGACAATTTTTGGGTTAAGATCAATACTTGGAAAAATAACACTTACCCAACTCATCTTTAATCATGAACAGGTAAAAATCACTTTGAGTTAAGAATTTGGATGTGTTTTTGAAGATTTTAGTTTGAAGATATTAACAAAAACTATCATCATAGTAGTGTCTAGACATGCATGTGAGGATTTGGATCTGAATCCATTACAATGAAAAGTTGAAAACTTCTAGATTTGGTTAAAAGAAAAAGATATTTGCTTGTTTTGGATGATGTGTGGGATGATAAGCAACCAAATTGGCAGAAGAATTTGTATTCGTTTAGTGGGACCAAAGCTGCTTCTATTTTTGTCAATACTCGTCTTCCAACTGTTGCATCACTAATGGGAAAAGTACCTCCTCATGAATTATCAATGCTATTAAAAATGATTGTTGGGAGTTATTTAAACATCAAGCCTTTGGACCAAATGAAGTAGAGCAAGTGCAAGTTGTTGTCATAGAGAAGGAGATAGTAAAGAAGTGTAGGGGGATTCCTCTTGCAAAAAAAAAAAAAAAAAAAAAGTACAAGGAGATCTTTTACACTTCAAAAGAGAAGAAAAAAGTAATGTTATGTTATGTTAAGGAAAGCAACATGTGAAATTTACCACACAATGAGAACTTTGTAATGTTAGCCTTAAGGTTAAGTTACTTGAACTTAACAATCAAACTTAGACAATGTTTTGTTTATTGTGCAATATTTTTCCAAAGATGACATAATAAAAAAGACAAGATTTAATTGACTTTTGTATGGCTCATGGATTCATTTCGTCTAATAAAGTATTAAATGTTGAAGATATTAGTAATGATGTGTAAAATGAATTATATTGGAGATATTTTTTTAGGATATTAAGACAGATGAATATGACAAAGTTACAAAATTCAAGATGCATGATTTTGTTCATGATCTTACATAATTTGTTGTAGAAGATGTTTATTGTGCTACAAATGACAATTTTGTAACTAATTTATCTAAAAATATCCACCATCTCTCCATTCATGAGTCAATTTCATATGAGGTAGCCAACTCATTTTAATTGCAACAAGTCAAATCTTTGAGAAAATGGATATCGAGTAGATATAATATTGGGCAATTGTTTGTTCCTATGTTCAAATGTTATTCTTTGTGGGTGCTTCACTATGAACAAAGAAAAGAATTGTCATCTTCAATTGATGATCTAAAACATCTAAGATACTTGAACCTTTTGGGTGGTATCTTTGAAACTCTTCTAGAATCATTATATAAATTATGAAATTTGTAGATATTAAACCCAAACAGTTATGAATGTCTCCAAAAGTTATCTACCAATTTAATATGCTTAAAAGCTCTACAAAAGCTATCTTCGATTAGTTGTTTATCATTATCAAACTTGTCTCCTCAAATAGGGAAGTTGACTTCTCTAAGGAATTTAAGTACTTACATAGTTGGCCAGGGAAAATGATTTCTTTTGGGAGAGTTGGGACCACTAAAGCTTAAAGGATATCTTCACATCATGAATATGAAGAGTGAAAAGTATAATGGATGCTAAAGAAATCAACATGTCATGTAAGGAATTGAAGCAGATGTGATTATTGTGAGATAGAAATAAAGGTCAGAATTACAAGAAAATGTTCAAGAGATTCTTAAAGTGCTTCAACCTAATATCCAACTGCTTCAGAGTTTTGGCATGGAAGGATATAAAGGTGCCTATTTTCCGAGATGGATGCATATCCTTCTTTCAAATATTTAACTTTTTTAGAGTTGTCAGATTGCAAAAGCTATTTAG